GGTAAACAGCTTTTTTAATGGTTTGGCATGAAACACAGATAAAACTTAATGCATTTTATATCCCTGAGTGTTATTTCTTAAACCTAAACTTCTGATGAGATCTAACATCTAATAAATCCTTGAATTGGTATGCCTTGTGCTGTTAGCTGTAACTTTCCGCTGGGAGAGCCTGTGTTACGAATAAGGAATTTTCTTCTTGTTTTATTTGTCTTTACCACGGATACTTTAGACCAATGTTTATTTACTCCATGTGTATTTTTGTATCAAGGCCACATAATCTCAAAGAGAATTTTAAAATGTAAAAAAACGTGATGGCATACATTGGTCATTAGAATGGCTACTGAAAACTTTTTCATTAACTATACTAAATAATATAGAGATTCCATTCTGTAGGAGAAAACATACTTTTGAAGGGTAAGCACTCATCCTATACCGTTTCCATCTGGACCCAATCCACCAATCCTTCAGAAAGATGTACTCTACAAGAGTCCTCAAATCCAATAATCCAAGTTGGTGACCTCTCTACACACTGATTAATATCATTTTGTGCATTATACATATAATGTCACTGTTATACAAACAATGGCAAGGGACAATGCAATGATTTTGAAGACAATCACAAAAGACTAATGTGATAGCACATAATTATTTGTTAAAGAAGGCTCTAGTTTCACACATTCAATTTTATTTTAAAAGAAACAAGAAGATGAAACATATGACGATCTTGCAGGGATTTTTTTTTTTTTTTTTTTTTGGCAAAGATAGCTTTATGCTGGATAGTGTGCCCTTAAAGATTCTATTTCTGGATAGGATTTTGATTAGCAACTAGGAATACTGCTGCATGAGTCAAAATAAAGGGAATGGAATTATTACTGCCGCATGAGTCAAAATAAAGGGAAATGGGTAATTCAAATTATCTCCTTTTAGAAAAGAAAACAAAAAAAGAATTTAAAAAGAAAACTTGTGCCTGGAGACCACATTCCTGGGTCTGGATTATTTAGCTCATTATTTGAAATGAGCACAACAAACATAATTTGGACAGGGGATCCTTTCAATAACATGTTTATTCTCCTTGGAGCTTAGTCAGACCAGTCTGACCTCTGAGGCTGGCCAGTCACTTCTGGGCTTTATTCTGGACCATCTATTTCCAAGTCTGCTCTGCCTGGGACCCACTGGACTTAACTCCTTTTTACTTCCTATCATCCACTGTGGTTTACCTTTTTCATCCCAAGGCCCAGTCTAGCTCAAGAGACTAAAACCCAGTCCAAATCAGACTCCATCACCCAAATGGAGAATTCTGTGACCCAAGTACATCTCTAGGTGGGTGAATGAATGATTTAAAGGTTGGCATCAGTATGGAATACCCTTACTGCAATGTCCAACCAACAGGGACACTAGTGATATACAACTGGTTCAGGATAAAGTACTTGATGCTTACTTTTATCATCTTTCCTGATGAAGTAGATGAAAAAATGCAAATACCATGCTTATTAATGTCTACGGTTCTCATTTTAAATGATTGCTAAAACAAAGACAGGAAAGGAATTTAAAATGAGTTGTCTAACTTCAAAAAATGGCATCTTCAAAATGAAAATAAAAATTCCATACAGAAAATTCAAATAACGTCACCCACTCTTCAAGACAAAAGCCAATTCAAAGAGCAAAAGTGAAATCAAAGGGCAGTGAAAGTCTAAGCAGAGAAAAATGATAAAATAGAACAACAGAAAAATTTTAACTGTTAGGACATGTTTAAAATATATCAGTCAGTCTCCAAAGAAGATATACAGATTGCCAACAAACACATGAAAGAATGCTCAACATCGTTAATCATTAGAGAAATGCAAATCAAAACTACAATGAGATATCATCTCACACCAGTCAGAATGGCCATCATCAAAAAATCTAGAAACAATAAATGCTGGAGTGGGTGTGGAGAAAAGGGAACACTCTCGCACTGCTGGTGGGAATGTGAATTGGTACAGCCACTATGGAGAACAGTATGGAGGTTCCTTAAAAAACTACAAATAGAACTACCATATGACCCAGCAATCCCACTACTGGGCATATACCCTGAGAAAACCATAATTCAACAAGAGTCATGTACCAAAATGTTCATTGCAGCTCTATTTACAATAGCCTGGAGATGGAAACAACCTAAGTGTCCATCATTGGATGAATGGATAAGGAAGATGTGGCACATATATACAATGGAATATTACTCAGCCATAAAAAGAAACGAAATTGAGCTATTTGTAATGAGGTGGATAGACCTAGAGTCTGTCATACAGAGTGAAGTAAGTCAGAAAGAGAAAAACAAATACCATATGCTAACATATATATATGGAATCTAAGAAAAAAAAAAAAAAGGTCATGAAGAACCTGGGGGTAAGATGGGAATAAATACACACACCTTCTAGAGAATGGACTTGAGGACACGGGGAGGGGGAAGGGTAAGCTGTGACAAAGTGAGAGAGTGGCATGGACATATATACACTACCAAACGTAAAATAGATAGCTAGTGGGAAGCAGGTGCATAGCACAGGGAGATCAGCTCGGTGCTTTGTGACCACCTAGAGGGGTGGGATAGAGAGGGTGGGAGGGAGATGCAAGAGGGAGGGGATATTGGGGTATATGTATAGCTGATTCACTTTGTTATAAAGCAGAAACTAACACACCAATGTAAAGCAATTATACTCCAATAAAGATGTAAAAAAAATAAATAAAATGAAAATAAAATATATCAGTCAAAACTGGATAATATTTCCAAATTAGAAATGAATGTTATCTTCATAAAAATTCCCTCAGAACTATTCTTCTAAAGGATTTTAAAGTTTGCAATTTACTTAACAAATACAAATAAGTGTATCACAGTAATTTCAAAAGTAAAACAAGTAGAAAAATATGTATAAAACAAGTGGAAAACTATGTATAAATCAAGAAAAATCAAAGCATAAATCAAGAAAAATCAAGAGTAAACCATAACCTCCAAAGTAAGAAATGTGGACAGGATTTGAGTTATACGTTGCTCTGGGGACAGATAATTAGAAACTAGTTTAGTTGAACATAAATAAAATATGTAAACATAATCACAGAATCCAAGGAGAGGCTTCATCCTCACACACTCAAGGTAGGAATGGATTCTCTGCCTTAGAAATTGCATGGAAGAACAGGTTATACAATTTGTAAACTTACAGAGAACTAAAACCATTTTGAATCTTAAAAAAAATAGTTTCCGTTGAGGAATAACATGGATACTCATATGGTCTATGATTAAAATACAACTGAAAATAAACTAGGAGGAATAATATGATCAGCAGTGTTCCGGCTCACTCATTCTCGCCTGAACACTTGACCACTTCTTCTCATCTGGACAGTGTTTGCATCTTAGGTTTCTTTAGCTCCGATGATGTCTCTATTGTTTTAAGATCACTGTGATTGTCATTTACCAAACATCTTCCTGACCCCAGGAATACATAAAATTTAGATAATTTGCTTTTCCAAAGGACAATGCCCGAACTCTTAAGGGCATTAGATTAAGTCTCCAATTTATGATGAAGGGACATAAAGTGCTATAACTAGAGAAAAGAGACAACCTAAGGAAACATCGTAGTCAGGTGTTGCCTATGACTTTGGGACAAGGAAAACACCACTGGTTTTTGATATACTGGTTTTGTTTATCCAACCATTGTTAATCTGTAGGTGATCATGTCTTACACTGAGCAAGATGCATAAAATGCAGAGACAGAGGTAGAGCCCTGGGGGGTTGGGGTGGAGGTGTTTCTAACCTTGCCAGGAAGATAAGACAGGTTTACAGAAGACCACAATGGAGATGATGATGCCAGGAGTCCCAAGGGGGATCAGAGAAGGGAATGATTGTTTCTAGACATTAAGAAGGCTTCAAGATGGGGGTGGAGGTGGGATTTTGAGGCAACATTCTGAAACGTTCATAACAAAAGCAGGTGAGTTCAAGAACAGCAGCATTGCAATTAGGTTAAAGGGAAAGGATAGGCACCTCGGAGAAATCTTAAAACTTTAAGCCACAGTTTGAAAATGATGTTATAGATTCTGACCAGTCAAGGTCTTCCTTGGCTATTTAAGGAATCTGAAATTTATCTTTTGCTCCCAGTTTTATTGTTTTTAAAAACCACGTTGATCCGTCAACTTTCACGCGAAACTGGGAGCAAAGTAGAAGAAGGAATGAAGTTGGGAAAAGAGGTGAAATGGATACAAGTCGATCAGATAACAGACAGTTTCCGGGTAAAGACATTGGAGGAGGCAGAACACTTCGGGTTAAAAAAATAAAGATTATTTTTTATGATGAAAAGAGGGGATATGTGTATAGGTATAGCTGATTCACTTGGCTTTACAGTAGAAACTAACACAACATTGTAAAGCAACTGTACTCCAATAAAAATAAAATAAAATAAAAAACAACATTTAGGAATGTTGGACTATTTATTATCATGCATTCCTAAGGGTTATGGGTTATGCTCTCTGCTGTTAACCTTCTGTTGAAAACAGTCCTATCTTTGCCTAAGAATCTAATGACAAATCCTCTTTGGAATGTGATTCCAAATTCTTTTGGGAATACCTGCAGACTCTCAAAAGAACGTGAAATGTTTTCTTGTTGTCTATAAAACGTTAGAAAAACGCCTTTTGAAACAGCAGCTGCAGGGTGAACTTCTAGAAAATAAACCCTGAGAGGTTTCTCTTCCTTTTCTTTTAACCCAAATAGCCTACGTATATTTTTCAATCTCTTCTTTCTACATCCTTAATATTAACTGTAAGTGATGAATGGCGGGTGTGGAAAGAAGGAGACTGGAGAAACTCCGTCCATTTGAAAAGAGCTCATTCTTCTCACCCTATTTTGCAGAGTGTCATTTTAAATAAGTGCTGGCCTGGAGAAGGTTTTTATTGTTTTGAACCACAGGCTTTACATTACCTTAAAAAAAAAACCCTCTCAGCCGCAAGTTGGATGCTTCTGGCAGCAATACAAATCTAGCACCACCCAGGGAGGGAGCGTATTTGCTTCTTCACTCACTTCTGGCAGGGCAGAGGAATGCTGGACATTGAGAGACAAGAAGGGAGGCTGCCCAGAGCATCGGCACGCTGCTCCCCCGTCCCACGCCTTGGGCCTCCTCCCTTAGGAACAAACAGGTAAGTACATCGAGGTGCTGATGCAAGTGGGGCATCCTAGCTCACTGCAACCAAGCCATGGAGGAAGTCAAGTGCAATGTCCTGAGAATACCTAATAGGTCTCAACACCTTCAGGAAGCTCAGCTTGGCCTGGCTGAGGTCATAAGGTTCTCTCTCATTCTACCCAGCACATTGCTGAAAAGTCCTTTGGTGTTTATTAGTCTTTCTAGCTTTGCATGTCACTTTGCAGCATGCTTTTCTCTAGGCTATTAAGAAATGCATTAAAACAGCCACTGAATGTTTGGGTTTTGACAAATCTGGGGCTACTTGTTCATCTGTTTTTCTTTCGTATTCAGAAATCAGAGCTTACAGCAAGCTTGACTGCTGAAAAGTGAAATATCATCTAAAGTTTCGTTTTCAATGTCAGTGTTGTAAAATACTATACATGGATAAAATGTAAGATTTAACGTTAGACAGGGAGCTGAAAAACTACAGAGATAAAATGTTCCTATAATATGAGAGTCGTCTCTAAACATAAGGCTCCATGTTATAAATTTGGGTTCTTAATGAATTTTTTATATAACCAATTCTGTTTCCACTTAGATGTCAGAAACTGAGCTGGAAAAGATAAAAGTCAGAACAGCTGAGCATTTTGAAAATGACAAAAATAACATTTCTTGGTTGAAGGAAGGTAAGTCCTCTTGCTGTTGATTTTCTATCAATGTGAGAATTGTGCTTTTGTTTATAAGCAAAAAAGAGTGTGGAAGAAAGAAGAAAAATGTCCCAGCATTTCAAATGACATTAATACTTCTGATTTTCTTTCTTTCTTTTTTTGGCCTAAGTGGTAGTTTGAGGGTGTTTAGTATTGAAATGCTTTTTGTATTCCTTAGACTGCAGAGGTCACTCAGATGACTTTATGGGTAAGAGGATATACATTTTCAATTCAAATACACGTTACCTGTGAGATTCTTGTTGTGCTGGAGAATTTTCTCCCTTGTAGCCAGGAAGATGAAATAATTTGAGGACAAGTATTTTTTAAATAATAATCACAGAAAGGAGTGCAGGCTGTAGGAAGTCATGTCTACAAATAGAATCACCATTCACTGCAATTACAGAAGCCACCTTCCCCCGGGAGAGCACTGTCAGCCACAAGCACGCCGTGCTTAAGATGCTGGCTTGAAATACACACACAAATCGATATGTCCTCCTAGGAGAAGTACAAATATGTGCACTTTCTAAAATTCGTGTAAACTCATGATTATTTACTAGAAGGTTTGGTTTCATAATCTTTTCTTTTTATGAACATCTTTAATGTCTTTAATCTTTTTATGAACATCTTTAAAAGGAAACCAACTTGATATTCTATCTAAATAGATAAGTTGTGTCTTTTACTTCATTTCCTGAATCTACTCTGTTGTTAAAAGACGGCTCTTAAGTAGTTGCCATGCCTCAAAATTGTTTTCTAAGGTCACAGGAGACTTTAATATATATGTCAAGTAAGTTCTACAACACCAATAATAATAATAATAATCATGACATCAAACATGATGACAATGTGCATTAGTGATTATGCTGAATCATCACAACAACCTAGGAAGCATTAATCGCTCCTAATATTCAGGTAAGAAAATAGAGTCTCAAAGAGTTTAAGTAAATTGCCTAAAATTACAAAATTAGGAAGTAACAGAGCGGGGATTTGATCCCAGACTATGTGACTCCATAGCATATAAACTGAACTACCACCTTACACACTGTTTCATAGAAAAGATGTTTAAGTTACTTGTCAGGACATGATCTGTGCTCAGAAAGTTTTCCTAAAGTGTTTAAATCAACACCTCCACCTTCACACGTACTCTTCTATCCACTCTTATTCTTAATCCTGCTTTACCCCCATCCTCATTTTTTAACTGTTCACTTTTTTAAAAAAAGATTATCCTTCTGCCCCAGGGCCCCATAATCAAATTTAATAGCTGGAACTCATCTCCAGTGAAGACTTTATTTCAGGATAAAAGTGGGTACAGACATGTATTCTCAGAATCATTCCCTTCAAAAATCCACAGAGCTAAGAAATTCTCTAACTTCTTTTTATTAAACAATCTTTTAAATAGAATCTTTAAAAAAACAATATAGAAGTAAAAAAACTGAACTCAGGCCAAAGATCCCTCTGTGTTTTTCTTGAGAAGACCAAGCCCGCAAAGACAGAGAAGTTCTTCACTGTGACTTAGAGTGTAGTTTATCTTATTTCTTTTGCTTCAATTGCCCATGCTATAGATGTCTCACAGAGAAATAATGACAAAAATTGATATACCAGTCATTTGCTTCCTGAAGAATTTCCATTTTAAAAAATTGTCTCCATTAAGTACAATTTAGGATTAAATTTTTATAATCTACAAAATCTAACTTCCTAGGTGACCTGTTTTAGCCCATTTGGACACTTCACTTAAGCTACACTCAAATTATGTTTACTGTATCATAAAAGGGATTCGAGCCAGATGCAAGATGACAACATCTTAATTGGGAATTACCAGGATGAGTTAGTTTTTGAACATAATTGTCTTTTTTTGTTTGTTTTAATGTTAAGAAAAAGGATCTATGTTGGCTTTTTTTTCTTTTTTTTTTGCGGTACGCGGGCCTCTCACTGTTGTGGCCTCTCCCGTTGTGGAGCACAGGCTCCGGATGCGCAGGCTCAGCGGCCATGGCTCACGGGCCCAGCCGCTCCGCGGCACGTGAGATCTTCCCGGACCAGGGCACGAACCCGTGTCCCCTGCATCGGCAGACAGACTCTCAACCACTGCGCCACCAGGGAAGCCCTTTTTTTCTTTTTAAAGCAACCTGGTGCAATGGAAAGAGCAGAGGATTTAAAGTCAGACAGGTGAAGGTTTAAAATTTCAGCTCGGCTGTTTACTAGCTGTTTGGCTGTGCCATGTTGCTTAACCTCTCTGAGCTTCAGATTCCTCAGCCAAGGACTATAACACCTACTTTGTGAAATTATGGGAGAGAGATCTCATTACTTTTGTGTCTTTTTTTCCTCTTTAAAGCATGATTCAAAATAATACAATGTTTTTTTGAGATCCTGGTTCACACTTGGAACAATGTGCACTAGTACCGGCGCTGTATATTTTAATAGCTTTGTCAACAGAAAGGACCTCTATAAAGACGCAAAGAGGCAGTTTATTTGGGATCTTAGAATTGCAATTTGGGGAATCACAGGTTCCGGAGGAACCCAGAATAGTGTCTCAACAGAGGAAAACGGGCAGGGGGTTTTATGGAAAAAAGGAGGAAGTTCATGCAGGCTTAGACAAGTTGTTTACCAAAGATTTGGATTGGAGGGTAAATATGTTCCATATATACAACTGGGTTATCAAGCACGTCTCATCCCTTACTAGGGAAAGGTAGGGTTTCCTTGGTCCAAAGAAAGTCCAGTTCTCAGCATTATTGTTTCCTTTTGGCAATTCAGCAACTGCTCAGCAGCTTTATTTTTGAGTGTTCAGCCAAAGTTCAGCATGGACAGCAAACACGGAGGTCCTTCTTGACACTTCATTCATTTCCTGCCACTGTTTCTCTCACAGCATTTTATATAAATTCCTTCCCGTGGTCCCTACAACCATTTGGTGTGCAGTAGTATTGTCTCATTTTACAGATTAAAAGACCGAGGCTCAGAGAAACTAGATCTTGCTCAAACTGACAGAGCTGTTAAGTGGCAAACTGAACCTTGAACCCAAATCTTCCAAATTCTGTTCTTTGCCTTAAACCACTTTGTCACAATGCCTTCTCCAACAGTTATCAGTATTTGAAATTTATCAAACCCCATCCCCCTTAAAAAAGAAAAAGAAATACAGTCATCCCTCGGTATCTGCAGGGGGATTGGTTCCAGGACCTTTTGCAGATACCAAAATCCAAGGATGCTCAAGTCTCTTACACAAAATGGCATGGTACAGTCAGCCCCCTGTACCCACAGTTGCAGAACCCATAGATAGGGAGGACTGACTGAAGAGACTTGAAAGTGGTTCAAAAGTTTTTTTCATGAATAGCAAAAGTAATTGCTTCTCCCATCACAGTGCCTCTTGCCTCCCTCTGCAATTCCAGCTAGTACTGGCCACGTTTAAAACATAGGGAATCACAGCACTGCCCTATTAGGGTTGCAGCAAGCACTCACTGGCATAATCTACATAAACCACTGAGCACAGCACCTGACCTCAGAGTGAGCATGGGACCAACAGGAGTTAGCACCATCACTGCCAACCTGAGTACTGATACTCTAACTTCTCATCTTCAAACATTCAGTCAACTTACCCAATTCGAGTCAACATTTATTAACAGCGGTATCACTGGAGACAAGGCATGAGCATAACAGAGAACAATTTTAAAAAATGAAAGAAGGACAGAAACACAGTCCTGCACTCAGGAATTTTATCTAATTGTCCTGCTTTCCCCTGAAAGGTGAAGAGGTTCTTATTTGCCTTCTACTTTCTCTCCTATGGACCATGGGCCTGATGGCCTCGGCAATGGTGCCAAAGAGCTGCTTAAAGCAACATCCAGAGCTTTTATTAACAATTAGGGTAAATAGCGTTTAAGAAACACACCAACAAACCTGAAAATGCACTCGGAGTCAAGTTAACTGAATCCTATTTTACCTTCTATCAAACTACCTGGCAATCTTGTACCATTATTCGTCATCTTGCCTTTAAATTCCTGACTTCTCAAACTTTAGATTGATCAAATTCCTGGGTCCCAACTTAAGGAATTCAGGAGGATATAGGTGGAGGCCAGAAATAAATGCTTAAGAGCAAGTTAACATGAAGTAACATGTTCAGGGACCATACTTGGGGAAACCCTGTTTTAAGACAATCAGAGAAACAAAATATGATTGTGAAATATGCACCAGGCAAGATGTACTGTGTAACTGTGCACCAAAGTGGTCTAGAAAGGCCAATCTTGAAGGTGGTCATCCTCTATTTGCACAGGTGAAGAGGAGTAATGCTGGGTGCAAATCACAGGCTGCATGATGCCCGCTTTGGCGCTAGGGAAATGGGCATTTGGGCCAGTTACCTGTATATGGATTAACACAAAACAAGGAGGACAGAAAGACTGAGTTCCAACTATAAGTTAAGTAGTTAGTTGGACGTGGGTTCTAAGTTGTCACTGCAGGTCTGAGGTCAGGGACTAATATACTGAAGCGTCATTTAAATCTGTAACTGGAGTGCAAAGTGGGATGAGGCAGGCAGAGGAAACTTTAAGGCAAGGGGGATGTTGATGGCTAAGACAGCAATGCATTCAGTAGCCCTGAAGTGAGGACAACACGACCAGCATGAAAGTCATAACAAGGAGAAGAAAATAGGCCCAAACGTGAAAAAGGTTACAAAGGAAAAACTGATATATCATAGAAACTGGGGGGGAAATTACAGGTGGAGTAAGATGGCATGTAACACCCCATTAAACCAGGGAGCATTCTGGGTAAGCATTTCAGTGCTCGCTCCTTATACTATTTGATGGGGAAGAGAAACATCAGAATGAAGGGATGGAAGCTTTTAAATTGTTGCCATTTGCAGTTTAAAAATCACAGCATCACCAGTGTTTGAGCTGCACACGATTTCTTAGAGTGTCTCCTGAATTTTCAGGAGAAAGTGGATTTCTATATGAAATCTCCTGATTTCTAAAGGTTAACTAATAACAATTAACAACAACAAACAA